GGTCGGGGCGCCGAATTCTGTCCCGGTTGCCCCTCTTCCAGGCCAGCTCTCTGCTGTGGCCAGGGAGTGCAGTGGAGGATGGCCCAAGTGCTTGGGCCCTGCACCCCATGGGAGACCAGGATAAGCACCTGGCTCCTGCCATCAGATCAGCGCGGTGCGCCGGCCATGGCGGCCATTGGAGGGTGAACCAACGGCAAAGGAAGACCTTTCTCTCTGTCTCTCTCTCTCTCACTGTCCACTCTGCCCGTAAATAAAATAAAATAAAATAAATTGTTCTTCATTGTGTGTTATTTTTGAAATTTGAACTATGTCAACATATTTACTATTAGATTTTTCAATGTGGCCTACAAAACTAACAATATAGTTGGAGAAGCCAAGAGAAAGATTTTTTTAATCATAAATTTACTTTTATTTTATTTGAAAGGCAGAGAAACAAAAAGAGAGGCAGAAAGACATCTTCAATCCACTGGTTCATGCCTCAAATGATGGCAACAGCCAGGCCTGGCCCAGGCTGAAGCCAGGAGCCCAGAACTCAATTTGGGTTTCCCACGTGGGTAACAGAGACTCAAGTATTTGAGATATCACTTGCTGCCTCCCAAGATGTACATTAGTTGAAAGCTGGATGGGAAGCAGAGTAGAAGGGACTTGAGCCCAGTGCTCTGATTTTGGTTGCAGGTGTCCCAAGTAGGCACTAAGTGCACCAATTGCCCATCACAGGAGACCAAATTTCAAAATAAATGTTTCAACTGCTATAAAATAGGAGGATACATTTGAGGACAGTCAGACATGATAAAACTGCCAGTTTTGCCTGCTAATTAGGTTTACAAGAAGGGTTTAGTGGTTGGGGTATGTCTACCTGATTGATGAGGTTTCCTTATATATGCAGGTACCAAAGAATCAGTGTGATACAGTGGAAAGAATATGGGTATTGGAATTAGGCAGAAATCAATTAAAATCCCAGCTTTTCCATATACTGGCCTTATATCCTTCAGCAAGTTATTTCATCTTTTTGAAATTTTAACTTCCTTATCTTTAAAATGGATGAAATCTAATAGGATTATCATAAAGGTTAAAGGATATAACATCTGAGAGGCAGAGTTACAGACATCAAGAAGGATAAGCAGAGAGGTCTTCCATTCACTGGTTCACCCCCGAAATGGCCTCAGCAGCCAGAGCTGGCCAGATCCAAAGCCAGGAGCTTCTTTTGGGTCTCCAACGTGGGTGCAGGGGCCCAAGCACTCAGGTCATCTTCCACTGCTTTCCCAGGCCATACGTAGAGAGCTGTATTGGAAGAGGAGCAGCCAGGATTCCAGCCGGCACCATGGGTATAGGCTTAGCCCAATATGCCACAGTGCCAGCCCTTAAATTTGTTAGTTTTACTTCCCCTTCTTTTCCACTCTGCCACAGCACCAGCCCCACTTCACCTTCTTTCCTTACATAGATGGAACTATATAAGAGAACAACTGGCATGAAGAAACTAAATACCTTGAGAAAATGCACGTTATATGTAAAAGAACTGCATGTAGTTAAAGTCTCTGTGTCTATGATTTAGTCAATCTCGGATTATGAGGAATTAAATTTCTTATTATCCCACAAGTTTTAAAAATTCTTGGGCTATAAATTCCTTTTTCTTTCCCTATCTGAAACATGGTCAAAAAGACGAGAGATCTTTCAAACACAGGGCAAATATGCCCTAGAAAACATTTTGTTCTAGTGCTCATTTCTAACAAACATAATTTTTAAAAGATTTATTTATTTATTTGAAAGTCAGAGTTACACAGAGAGAGGAGAGGCAGAGAGAAAGAGAGAGAGGGAGAGAGAGGGAGAGAGAGGGAGAGAAGAGGTCTTCCATCCACTGGTTCATACCAAATTGGCCACAATGGCTGCAGCTGCGCTGATCTGTAGCCAGCAGCCAGGAGCCAGGAGCTTCCTCTGGATCTTCCCATGTGGGTACAGGGGCCCAAGGACTTGGGCCATTTCCTACTGCTTTCCCAGGCCATAGCAGAGAGCTGGATCAGAGGTGGAGCAGCTGGGTCTCGAACTGGTGCCTGTATGGGATGCCGGCACTACAGGCGGCACTGCAGGCTAGTGTTAGGCCACAGCGCTAGCCCCAACAAATACAATTTTAAGGGGGATTTTGTAGCAGCCAGTGGTTCAGCCTTTAAAAAGTCAGTGTATTACTTTTCTTTTACTAGAAAATACCACTGTGAAAATATACCAAGACAAAGGCTACCCACTAAATCATATTTATAATTGATATTTTATGTTCAACACATTGAGTGTGATTTAATATGGTCATCAAATATACTACTTGATAAGGCAATGATTTCTCTTTTCACACTTGTAAAACCACAGGAATATCGTACATATAAATATATTAAATTGCATTTAAGCCGGCGCCGTGGCTCAATAGGCTAATCCTCCACCTTGCGGCGCCGGCACACCGGGTTCTAGTCCCGGTTGGGGCGCCGGATTCTGTCCCGGTTGCCCCTCTTCCAGGCCAGCTCTCTGCTATGGCCAGGGAGTGCAGTGGAGGATGGCCCAGGTGCTTGGGCCCTGCACCCCATGGGAGACCAGGAAAAGCACCTGGCTCCTGGCTCCTGCCAGGATCAGCGCGGTGCGCCGGCTGCAGCGGCGGCCATTGGAGGGTGAACCAACGGCAAAAGGAAGACCTTTCTCTCTCTGTCTCTCTCTCTCACTGTCCACTCTGCCTGTCAAAAAAAAAAAAAAAATTGCATTTAATACAGACTATATAGCAGTCACCAAAATCTATTAGACTGGGAATTCCTTCCATTCTGACTCAAATTACTGACAGGTGTCTCAGGCAAAGGTCTAGGTGAAACACAGATTATTGCTCAATCATATCTCTCTGACTATACTCATTGTTGGTTGCTAGGCACTGAGTAGAGTGTATTTTCCCTCTCAAATACCCAGGGGAAAATGTATCTAATATATCTAAATTGTATCTAATGTATCTAAAATTTCTTTCCCTCTGTCCTTGCGATTCATTATATTTGTTTAAAGAATTTAATGAGTTTGTTCAGGGAGTTGCATCAGAAATTGTTTTTGTATTAGTGGTAGGAATGACAAGTAGTTCTTTGTAATGTTGCACCAGTCAATACCTGTTTTTGCCTAAGGATATATCCTTACCAATTCTGGATAATCCTGCTTTGAAGTGGGTTGGGCAGTACTAGGTTTCTTTTGTTGGTGTTCTAAGTTTGAGATGTGACCTAGGCACATATGCTTTGAAAACTTAAAGGCACTGAGGATACAGGGGAATTACATTCCACAAGTGCTAACTAAAGCCAGTGTACACAGCATTTAAATCAAAACAGTTCTATAGAATAGGTAAAAGACTTTTTTTTTCATTTTTTACAACATATTTATTATCTAGAAAGAACATTTACCTAACATGTTCTGTTCATAGCAAATAATCCTTTGGATGAAAAATGTCAAAATGAGCAATTACAGCTTCAAAGAAATGTTCACGATTTTCAGAAATGTTTTTTTAAAAAAAAATGTCTTGCGGAATCAACTTTTAAAGCTATTACAATTTTTTTATTCTTGGGCCGGGAGTTGTGGCATAGCAGGTCAAGCCTCCACCTGCACAGGCTGGTCGAGTCCTGGCTGCTTCACTTAAGATCCAGCGCCCTGTTAATGCTCCCTTCATCAAATTCTTTTCTTGTGATCTCTGATCACAGGATTGGTTGGAACGTGAGCATTTTCTACCCTCCTCTTAGAGGAGGGCAGACCCCCTCGCTATCTCTGTGCTGCATCCCAGAGACCTGATTGGAGTTGGTTCACTTGGCGGGCCCCGGGGGCAGGCCGAGAATTCCTGAAGCAAGAGGCGGCGGGATCTGAAAGCCCGAGTCTTTCCTCTCGGTCGGGCACTTTGCTATGCACAGCCAGGTCACCGCGCGTTCAAGCCCGCGGTCTCCCCACCTTCCCCGTGGGACAGTTCCCGGTACTGAGGGACGGCGCTGTCCAGCCCTCAGGCCCGCCGCCGTCCTCTGGCGTCCTCTGAGAACGGGGCCCTGCCAGGCGATCCCGCCCGAAGGCTGCAGAACCGCCGCGCTCAGCCACGTCCGGCACGCGGGCGGGTCGAGTCACCCTCAGGGGGCCATCCAGAGGAGCTCCCTCGGTCCCCAGAGCTCCGCGTGCTGGGCTCCGCTCTCAATGGCCGGAGGCGCGGCAGGATCAGCCCCTACTACCCCTCGTCTGTCCCCTAGCCTCTCCCGGTCCCCAGCTCCCGCCTAAATTGCCAGGCGCAGATAGGTTACGCTGCCTCACCTGTCCCAGAGGCGGCGACCGCTCCAGTGACTGACGCTATGCTCCTCCAACCAGACAATGGCAGGAGGGTGGAGCCTCGCAGAGACGGATTGCTCCTTTCTTCCAATCCCCATGCAGCTACCCCGGCCAGTCTCGGCGCCCGGCAGAGAGCGACAGGTGGGAGCTGCGTTATCTCAGCGCCTCTTGCATCCAGACGTACAAGCCTCAGTAAGCGCAGGGTTAGGTCTACTCCAGACTTTACCAGTTCTTGTGGGTCATCGCTATAGCCGTCATTTTCATCAAAAGGGGAAATCTCCCAGCCCTTTCCCGTCACCTCAGTTGGGGGCGGGACGAAGAGTATCCCGCTCCGGCCAATTGTACCACGCGACGTCCTGTGACAAACTGACCGACACTTCATGGCGCCAATGAAGTTTCCCATTGTTAGGGGTCACTGTGACTGACCACAAGGCCAACTAATCCACTTTAAGGTCGTGACGCGATCGTCAGAGAGGCTGACCAATAGACAAAGAAAAAGGCCGGAAGTCGGCTCGTGGGTAGTAAGAAGGCGGGTGTTCGCAACCGCCTAGGCCTGCGCGGGTCAACGCAGCTTGGGGGCCGCGAGCCAGCGAGCGGCGCGTGACGAAGAGCCTGAGCGACGGGTCACCTTGGCCAATGATCTGCTGCCGCCGGGGAGCTGCAGCCACTGGTGAGTCGAGTGGGCGGGAGGCAGCAGGTTAGGCAGTGAGAAGTTAGTGGCGCTGCTGGGACGGGGGAAAGGAGACGCTTCTTCCTCCTGCTGCTCCACTCGTTCCTGGGATCAGCGGAGGCGTTGGCCGCGAGTGACTGGGCTGCGTCTCCGGTTCCGCGTGCTAACCATGCTGACCGACGGCGGGGGCGGCGGCACCTCCTTTGAGGAGGACCTGGACTCTGTGGCTCCGCGATCCGCCCCAGCCGGGGCCTCGGAGCCGCCTCCGCCGGGAGGGGTCGGGCTGGGGATCCGCACCGTGAGGCTCTTTGGGGAGGCCGGGCCCGCGCCGGGAGTCGGCGGCGGCGGTACGGGTGCAGGCGGAGGGGACGCGGCGCTGGATTACAAGTTGGCGGCTGCGGTGCTGAGGACCGGGGGTGGAGGTGGTACCTCTGGCAGCGACGAGGACGAGGTGTCCGAGGTACGGCTTCGGGACCCCCGCCTGCCACACAAGCGTGAGGCGTGGACTCTTTTTGGGGTGGCACAGGGCTGGGGTCAGCCTCGCGCGTCCCGGGCACAGTGGTTCTCTGACAGCACTGGGCTCCATGGCGGCGCTCGCTGCGCGCGGGCCTAGTGAGCCCAGGGCTTACGCCTCAGCACGCGCGGCTCGAGCGGGACGGCTTCCCGTCCCCGTCTGTAGACCCACAATGGGGAGCCCTTCGGACTATAAGCTTCGCGCGGGAACAAGGACTGCTCAAACTACCTCCCGCCCGCCCGCCGAGCTGTGGAGTTGGGGGCGGGGGGCGGGGTCTTGCCAGAGTCCCTGCCCTTGGTACTGAGAGAGACAGAGACAGAGAGACAGAGAGACTGACCGAGCTGGCTCGCTCAGGGAGCGTTTTTAGGCTGTGCCTCTCTGCAGAGTCGAGGCGTACGTTTATTTGCCTTAGGCCTTTTACGGAGAGTCCTTGTTTAGTTTGAGGCAGGTGAGTATTAAGGAGCGCTCAGCCTTTACTCCGAAAAATCACGTGACTCTTGTTCCTGCGACGTTTTTGTGAAGTTAGACAGGAAAAGGAAGTTCTACCGCATCTTGGCCTTCGGAATAGCTGGGTGGCAGAACTCTGAGGTTTTTCAGCTCTGGGAAGATGAGGCGTCCATTGGGCACCTTCTGCAGTGAGTGATGCTGGTTACGAGGTCCAGCATTTCTTTTAATTCTCAGGCGCACACATGGTTAGGTCCGAGCAACCAAGGATGGTAGGCACCCTTTTCTTTTAGGCTCCAGGGAACAGGGGGGGTTTATTGGCATATATAAATTTTTTCTCTTGACTCTGGCTTGGGTTTAGCCCTGTCCTGTGGTGACTGTTGTTTTAAGTGCTCATAGTATACCTTCCATTTTGGTTGTTAGGTGCCTGGTTCATCCCCTGTGACCAATTATTTGAACCTCTGGTCTTGGTATTAAAGTATGGGAATTTCTCTGTGTGTACTAACAATCCTGGCTGCTGTGTTTGAGAGGCATAAGGAGAAATTTAGTGGGTTGCGGAATAGTTAGTACACTGTCTTTTCATTCTAGTTCTGTACAGGGATTTCCTTCGATTTAAAACCTTAGCACGTTCTGATCCCAGCATTCTGCTTGGAAAAAATGCTGTTTGAGTTTAAAGGGTTTACTCGCTTGGGTTTATCTTTGAGTTTCGCTACAAGGGAAATAGCTTATACGTCAAGACAAGACATGGATTTTATCCGAGTTGGCAGTTATGGTGAGAGTCTCCAAAGCATTTCCACTTGGGCTTGTGAAAGGCTTTTTTTTTTTTTTTTTTTTTTTTTTTTGACAGGCATAGTGGACAGTGAGAGAGAGAGACAGAGAGAAAGGTCTTCCTTTGCCGTTGGTTCACCCCCCAGTGGCTGCTGCGGCCGGCACACCGTGCTGATCCGAAGCCAGGAGCCAGGTACTTCTCCTGGTCTCCCATGCGGGTGCAGGGCCCAAGGACCTGGGCCACAGTGAACCTTGATGAGAGATGAACCTAGAAGACATGTACTCTTTAGCTAGTAATTTAGATGGTTACCTTTAGAGTCCCAAGATTAGAATTTTCCTTTGAAACTTGGAGAATCTGAAAAGGTTCATTTTGTCAATGTGATGAAAAGAGAGTGTCCTTGATTCTCTGGTCCATTTTTACATAATTGTCATGGGTAAGGTGATGTTTGCTTTTATATGAGTGTATATATATATATATATATATATATATTTTTTTTTTTTTTTTTAAGATTTATTTACTTACCTGAGAGGTAGAGTTACAGAAAGAGAGGTCTTCCATCCGCTGATTCACTCCCAAGATGGCTGCAACGGCCAGAGCTGGGCTGATCCGAAGCCAGGAGCATCTTCCGGGTCTCCCACGTGGGTGCAGGGACCCAGGCATATGGGCCATGCTCCACTGATTTCCCAGGCTGTCAGCAGAGAGCTGGATCCTAAGTGGAGCAGCTGGGACTTGAACTGGTGCCCATATGGGATGCCGGTACCTCAGGCGGATGGTTAACCTTCTGTGCCATAGTGTCAGACCCTATATAAGTATATTCTTAAATTTCTCTAGAGGTGGAGTGCTAGTGAGCTTCCAAAGTTATAAATCTTTCTTGTGTCCTCTCTACACCCAGGAGAACTTCAAAATGTTCACAGAAAATGGAATTGAAAGATAAGTTTATTTTGATGCAAAAATAATGAGATCCATGCATATGAGGGGACCTCAGAAAGTTCTTGGAAAACTTAAAAAGGTAGCACATTTTCCATGAAATTAAACAAATTAAAAAAATTTATCAGAGCTCTCTTTTGCTGGTTTACTCCCCAGATGCCCACAACCTCCAGCCTGGGCAAAGCTGGGAGAACTGGGAGCTGGAAACTCGATCCAGATATCCTACATGAGCCATAGTAACCCAGTTACTTGGGCCTTCTCCACTGCCTCCCAGGGTCTGCATCAGCAGGAAACTGGGGTCAGGAGTTGGAGCTGGAATTCAAACCAAAGCATTATGATGTGTACTGTGAGCATGTTAACCACCTTGCCAAATACCACCCCTCCTTGAATGTTTTGAAGATTCCTTGTATTTTTTTCATTTGGAATTTCCATACTGTATTGTTAAAACTATGGGCACAGTCCACGCCTTTTGTGTTTTATTGCCGTTTAGTGTAGAAATCACGTGGTGATTAGTATTTAGGCATTATATATATATATAGAGAGAGAGACCTCATTTTTAGAATGAAGTTTTCTATTGTACTCACAGACCATTTAACCTAATCTTAGGTGATCCTCCGTGTGTATGTAGATTGTTTTTTTAAGCTGTGGAGAAAGAAAATTTTGTTTTTGTGTCCCATTTTCTCCTATATTGTATAAAGAAATTCCTGGAGTTTCTATGCTTTGCTATAAAGCATGTTTAATAGGGAATAGTCTATGTGTTTGTGAATGGAATGACCCAACAAATGTCTTACCTTTTTTGTTTTCTCTTTGACAAGATGTACTGTTTTCTTCCATAGTATTGCCTTTGAATTTCCAATGTGAAGAGGTCGTAAATAATGTTGTTCAAGAAATACTCAGACTGACATTGATGGATAATATAAAATCCTCATTTTCATCTTTCCTAAATATTTTAGAACCAAGTACCTACACATCCAGAAAGATGATGAGTTGGTGTGTAGTTTGGGAGTGAAGTTTATCTTGTTCCCCAAATGGAGCAGCAGGACCACGTGAGAAGTGAGTGAGAATTGTGGAGACCTAGTATATTTGCTGTAGAATTAAATGAAGTCCTAAACGTTTTGTGTGCAGAGGAGTAGATACTGTAAGGACTTCTATCATCAGAGCCAAGAGCTGAAAAAAAAAAAAAATTACTGTGTTCTCTTGCTGGTCAAGTCAAAAGAACTTTTAGTTCAAGGAAGGGACTAAGGTATTTTAGCAAATTCTTTATATTGGAATTTTGCTATCTTAGAGAATGCCACCATTTGGGGATCATTGGATTTTGTTGCTTTATACATTGGGATAAATATTTGTTTTGTGTTTCTTCAGTCTTGCTGAGCATGTTCCTTAGCTGTCTAAGGCCTTGAATACAAGAGTCAGAGCTTGCATTGGGTCTTATTGAAATATACCTATTGTTAACAATAGAGATCAGGTTAAAAATTCCTTAAAAACCAGTTTTTAAATGTTAATTTTTTTTTCAAATTGAAACAGATTTTAAAGAAAGGACTTTAGTATGATTTATGGTTCTTAATTTTTCTGTCATAAAGAATATATGCACATACTATATGTATATCTGTGTGTGGCATCCTCCTTTAAAAATTGTTACAAAAGTATAGTCATGGTGAAAAATTCAACAGTGTAGATAATAAACATAAGCTGAAAAGTAAGTTTTTTATTTTATTATTTATTTATTTATTTTTTGACAGGCAGAGTGGACAGTGAGAGAGAGAGAGACAGAGAGAAAGGTCTTCCTTTGCCTTTGGTTCACCCTCCAATGGCCGCCGCGGCCGGCGCACCGCGCTGATCCGATGGCAGGAGCCAGGTACCCATCCTGGTCTCCCATGGGGTGCAGGGCCCAAGCACCTGGGCCATCCTCCACTGCACTCCCGGGCCACAGCAGAGAGCTGGCCTGGAAGAGGGGCAACCGGGACAGAATCCGGCACCCCGACCAGGACTAGAACCCGGTGTGCCGGCGCCGCAAGGCGGAGGATTAGCCTAGAGAGCCGCGGCGCCGGCCTGAAAAGTAAGTTTTTATTCCCACCCCCAGTGACCCTTCAAATCTCACTCTTCAAGGTAACCAATATTAGAATTTTTCTTTGAATAAATTTTCTAGGCCTGTCTATGTAGATATGCGTGTAAGTTTATACACATACACTTTAAAAGCATATCAAATTAAATAGCATAGCTTTATATCAGACTTAATTTTCTTGAGGCAGAGGCTGTATTTACAATTACATAAAAGCACACAAAATTGTAAACAGCTCTGAAATTATAGCAAAACCTTTATAGGGATTTTTTTCATCCAAAAATTACTTTTAAAGGCAAAAGCACAAATCCCGGCAGGCGTTGGGACACAGTGGATTAAGTCCCTGCTTGGGATGCTTGCATTCCCTATTAAGAGTACTGGTTCAAGTCACAGCTGCTCTGCTTCCTATTGATGTAACCTGGGAGACACAGATGATGACTTGGTTGCTTGAGCCCCCTTCCCATGTGGGAAGCCTGCATAGAGTTTTGGGATCCTGACTTCAGCATGGCCCAGCCCTGGCTGTTGTGGACCTTTGGGGACTGAACTAGTGAATGGAAGATCTGTCTCTGTTTCCGTCACTCTACTTTTCAAATACACTTTTTTTTTAAAGCACAGGTTATATTTACATTTTGGATATTCTCTGTTAGTTCTTTATTATGAGGAGCTCTCCTATGCATTACTAGCATCTGTGACTTCTAACCACCAGACCCCAATAGAACCCATCCACTTGTGATAGCCAAAAATTCT